AAGGAGCTTATCGGAGTAAGTTGAAAATAGCTTTTCAAAGGCAGATAAAGGCCCAGCTTTGACAAACATTTTCAGTAAGTGTTTTTCAAATAAGCCGAAAATAAACTCATCTAGATTGGGCCAAAATGGAAAGTTTGGACTTATTATTACATGCCACTTAAATAAGAAACACTTATTTTTCGGTTATTTATCCAAACTAGGCATTCCAAAGATAATCATTAAATCAACAGATGATACATAACGGAGAAATCTATTTGAAATATAGCAAAGCAGCGAGTACAATACTGAGACTGAAATAGAGATGATGGCAAACCTCATAATGATCGATTGATTGGTCCCATCTGCACATAAAAAAAAACGGAAAGAAATGTGAATGACCTTTTCTCACCCACAGTTAAAAATAGGTAACAATAGCTGTGGTATTATCTGACACCTTCCATCATTTCCGTGTAGGCTGCATCAGCAATAGAATACACATGAGGACCATCGACTAGCTTCTGCCTGTAAGCCGTAATAAACTCATTTCCATACAGTTTGACATCTTTGAAGGGATTCACCGCTATTAAAACAGGACCCGACTTACTCTGCAGAAGCACGAAGAACAAGAAAGGAAAGAAAATTATACATATAGACAGATAGTTAAGTAGATGTCTTGACAAGTTGACAGAACTGAAGCATGTGCTCCATCTCAACTAAAAGCCTAAGCTGATAGTTGAATTGCACATTAATGATTATATGCTCAACAGACAGTACATACATATATTCTTTCATGAGAATATCTGTGCTGCAAGTTATGAAGGACCGAAGGCTCGTTCAGATAACTAAGTTGTATGAGGTCATCGACTCCCACAAGAATATCTGGATTTGCGGGTAAGAGCTCTGCTGTGGGAACTACTACTTCCTGCATCATTAAAGAAGCCTAAGTAACCATACATCCCATGGGCCATAGCTATTCAGAATATGAAATAAATGAATGCAATAACTCACGCTCCCATCTGAAAGCTTTACAGAAGCTTTCTCTTGAAAAGTTGATTGTATCTGTCCTGATTCCCACAGTCCATCTTGTTGGCGACACCAAACATTAAGTTTCTGCAACACATTGATAAAACATTTAAGAGATAACCTATGAAATTTTGCATAAATCATCCTAAATCCTAATCGAACTTTCAACCAAAGAATCAGCAAGTAAAAGTAAACAAACAGGACAACCTAGTCAAATTGGTCAGGCTGTTGATTTAGTAACCACGATGTTATAAGTTCGAGGCCTTCTTGGTTTTAGCATGTCAGCTATGAACAACCTATACTGGTTTACTTCCCCCGGGATTTACTACAAAACGAAAATAATTTGGCCAATAATTACAACATCTAGTGTTCTTACATTCTTGGTGAAATAGCCAATGCTGTCATCCCACTCAGCCTCACAACACATTGGCAGTGAACCAGGCAGCCCAGATTGAATCTTTGGTCCATCATTTTCCCCCCATCTTCGTTTAGATCCATTCCTTTGTGCTGACATGATGTAAGGCGATTCTCTGGGCTCCATTTCTTTCACCTTCTTAGCCCCAAAGCTACTCCCTCTTGATTCCTTGACCTCTTCTTTCTGGGAATCACAGTCCACTGAGCTCTCCAATCCACCATTCCCAGTTTCAAAGCTTGGTGGCAACCGTCTCTTGAAGGACGGTGGCCGAGTCTTGGCGGTCAGCCTAGGCCGAGACGGCAGCTCCGGCGGCAAGTCCTTTGGCTTCTCCTCGTCCCCGTCTCTCCGCTGCAGAGCCTCCAGCATTTCTTCCAAGGAGCTCCGAGTTCTTGCGCCACGCGAAACAGACAACATTTTTTCGCCTCCACAAACCTCTCCTCTCACTATATATCTCAACTCGATTAAGATACAAAAACAGTATCACTCAACTCAAAACAAGCCAGCCGTATCATTGCCGGAAAACTGTAATTCAGATCAGAACTCCGACGAACGCCGCCGGAAACTCGAAAGCCCGGAGTCGTTCTTTGATTCAGAGACTCATATTCCAACTAAAAACACGAAAACCCAACCAAAAATTCATAAAGCTCTCAACTTTGGCCTTGTATAAACACCACATAAACGAAAATGAAAATTTTTAAGCAGCCAAAGCTCAAAACTTTTTTTGTGTTCTGCAAATTATGCTAAATCAAGAAAGCCCACTCCTAACTCCTGAACAGTAAATATGCAGAATCAAAGAAAACACAGAGAAAAACCAAAAAACAAACAACAAAATTCTGTATATAAATAAGAGTTATGGGTGAAAGTGTGAAACACCCCAACCAATTGTCCAAGGAAGAAGAAGTTTGTATTTTCGAAAATAAATTTTAAAAAAATATATTAAAAAAAGCTGTCTTTGCTTTGTCGTGACTCGTGGGTTGTTTTGAGGTATTCCTTAGAAAACAAAAAAACTGCCGCTCTGTTTAATTGATTAATACCAATTTTGAAATTGTGATGGGAGGGGACAACGTTTGATGAAAACGGTTGAGATCTGATATTTTGAATTAATAAAATATATTTGAATTTCAGGGACATGAGATTAACCAAGTGGGTGACAGATCATATAAATTTGTTACTGCAAAGTATGCAGTCACCATTGATATTTTAGTCAAAATGGTTTGAAGGAATTAGGTTGGAAGTTGGAACATGATGATGATATTTTGTAATTAATAGAGTGGTCTACTTTTTAAAACATAAAAAATGAGGGAATAATATTTTTTTGCGGTCACTATCGCGTTTTACTCTGATTTACCAATTTACCACAACATGTTAGATTTGATCAAACAAAAAAATGTTTTTCTTTTTTTTTTTTGCATTTAAAAATGTTGTTTGATTACAATTATAAACCACTCCTATTGTGAATGAGCTTATAGTTTAATGACATCAAGTTACATAAGATCAATTGTGAGATTGAGCCTCAATGAAGACTAGTGAGAAAAGTAGTTATGATCAGATACTGCAATGTGTATTTAAAATTAACTTATGAAAATAAATTATTTTTCATAAAATATTTTTATTTTTCGTGTTTGACTGCACAACAAAAAACTGTTTTGTGTGTTTGGTTCATTTTATAAAAAAATAAGTAAAATTGTATAATTAAACATTTTAAATATTTTTTTTAGAATATAAAAATATTTATAATAATATTACAAATATTATTTATCAATTTTTTAAAATGGTTTTCGGCGAAAATCATACTTATGATTTCTATTTTTCACCGAAAACCTTGTTCTGAGTGTTGCGGGACACTAATAATAATATTTATTAATTTAAAAAAAAAAAAAAAACCGACTTCTGTCGGAAACCTTGTTCGGAGTGTTGCGGAAAATGACTATACTTTCCCTAGTCAACAGAAAATATTTTCCGTTGACTGGATCTTTTTCAATTGCATCCAAACACCGAAAATTCAAAAAATGATCATAAATCATTTTCCAGATTTCCAAACACAGCCTAAATTGTATAACGTGTTTCAATTGACTATAGGCCTCCAAATACAAATAAATCATGTGATATGTTTGAACTGTATTATATGTCTCCAAATACATGTAAATTGTGATATGTGCATCAATTAGTCTGAATCAGAGCTATTTGATAACAAATTTGATTTGCTTTGTTTTCTTCTTGTAATATTCCTCCCGAGTTTGATTTTTGAGGAATGTATAACTCAAAGTTCTTTCCATACTCTCATTAAACAAGTCTAAAATATTTCAAACACAAAAAGGCCAAGAACCATGTCCACAAAAAATTAGATAACTCTCACAACAAATTTAATTTGAAATATTGTGACTATCTTACTAACTTGATTAAGGCTACATAATTATATAACTTACTTCATATACAATATGTTTCTTTTGTTTAGATATTTAATTGTTTTTCTTTAACCAAACAACATATAAAGTCCCAAAATTGCACACAAAGTCAAAACGTGGTGGGTCATGGGTGCATATTCAACACAATCAAGAATCCACCTTCTGAAAATCCCACATTTTAACTTTATTAATGTAACATTCTAGGTCTATTGAATTGGGTTGTTCAAAATGAAATGAAATTCCAAATATGCCCAATTCCAACTAGTTATTGAACTTTATATATAACCATGTAGAGTTATAGAAGACTGACATAATCCTATGTTTATTTATCATTATTAACGCAAAAAGGAAAATGAAAGCTCTTGTGTTAATTTGCAAGTGAGGTACATCATATCCAGCAAAAAGGGTTGTAAATAAGATGGGAATTCCATGTGGTTTGGTACTATATTTGAATCATTTCACATCATTGCAGAAGAATACTAGCTTTATAAGTCCATGTGGATCTCCTTCACTCATGCAATAAATCACTCAATCTTATATTTTTTGTATCATCTTTGATTTATGAAAGTGGTTGTGCTATTCGAAAAAATATATTGAGGTATTTGGTAAATAGTTGTTAGCTGATAGCTGTTAGTTGATTATGTTAGTGTGTTTAACTAGCTGATAGCATTAACTGATTATTGAAAGATGTATGGTAAATTAGTTGTTAGTTGATAGCTAATTACATGCAAAATAACTTCCTCTATTGAGCCATTGACTAACCGTGATTTACATCATCTCAAATACTCTGTCAGGACAAGGTGTAAAGATTCAACCTTTTGGAAGAAGAAAAGTAATCAATAAACAATATGATTGACTAGACATTCTTTATATAACTATACCATATACTATTAAGTATTAATATTGATCAACACTACCTAAATTTTCCAATAATATAATGTGACCTTGTAATATGAGCAACTCAAAATAACAAAATTTGTGTATCATAATTCATAAATTTATAACCAATGCTTATTTAATTACGGGTTAAAAAATCGGTTAATCGGCCCAATACAGAAAAAGACTACAAACGGGCCGAATTAAATTCAATATGGGCTTGATCTGCCAAAATTCGAAATTCCAGAGCCCAGTCCGTTTATCAACGGAACCATATATAGGGCTTCGTCGTAACTGCCGTAACCCCTCTCGTCTCGTCTCTCCCTCGCAGGCGCGTAGCTATGGCGAAGAACAGAAACAAGAAGAAGAGAAATGGCGTTGCTTCCATGGATTTCGTTGCCGATCAGACGGCCACGGGAGCTCAAGGTACATACTTCACTTTCACGAGTCTCTGTGTGCTTGCAACTAATTAATATTATCTATCGTCTGCTAAAGCTCACAGCTATATAACCTTCTGATGGATTCTATTTTCTGTTAATTGTTATCTCAGACATGGATACTTCTGAGTCCGCTGTTCCGAAACCATCTTCCGCCCGCGTTCATACGTGAGTACTGAAAAGCTGTATTGCTATTATTTTATTTTATTTTATTTGAAATCTATAGTAAGATGCCTAGTTTGCTGCTGAGATTGATGTTAAAATATTGTTGAAAGAATAATTTAGCAGGTGAAAGATATGTGAATTCCATGCTTTTATTGGGTGATATGTTGAATTTTTAGCTGCTTTCATAGTTTCAATGAATATGGAGTAATTGACAATTTGAAGGTACAAATAGATTGTGGGGGTGTTTGTTAGATAACTGTTAGCTGATTAGGTTAGTGTATTTGATTAGTTGATAGCTAAATAGCTGATTACATGCAAAATGACATTCTCAAACATTTTATCAAAAAAAAGCACTTTGAGCAGTTTTTTGAATTTTAGCATTTTGGAGAAATAAGGTGTTATAAAAAACTAATTAATCAAATACTTATATTGAATGTTTAACTAAGTCAAAAAGCTAATAGTGATCAAATAAGTCAAAATTGGCTGATAAGCTAACTATGTTACCAAATAGGGCTACAAGCCTAGTATATTTTGCAACTTCCATTACCATGAAGAAATTAAGTAGTTAAAGTAAATGTAGTTTGTGGAATGTTAGGGTGCATTACAAAGTGGACTAATTTCTCCCATTTGGAAAATATGGGAGAATGGAAAACTAGAGATTTGAAATATACTTTAGTTTTGTAGTGATATTGGCTTTCAAGTTTAGACTTTGGAGTCTAGTTTCCTGTGTGTATCTAGTTAGTACTCTCTCTGGTTAACATGGGACGTGTATCTTTCGAATTTGTCACCACAAAGTATTGAACTTTAGTGATTTTATCTTGTATTGAAATTTCAACTTTGAATACATGCCATCTGCTTTGTAGATTTCTGAATCAAGTTTCTGGTCATGTTGATAGAATTTGGGTTTTATGATTTCCACACTAATTTCATGTGCCTCCTCCCTGCAGAAAGGTCAAGGGAGTGCAAATGAAAAGGTCGAAGAATGTCCGAAAGAAGGCTGCCGTTGCCAAAGCTGAAGCTAAAATCGAGCAATTGAAGGAAAAAGTTTTGAAGAATGAAAGCAAGTTACATAGAATTCAATCTGCCAAAAAGCTATATGACTAATGTAATCTGCAGTGTTTCCTTTTGAAGATTGTAAACTTGTTCACCTATCATTACCTCACTTGTATTGTAATCTCTACCCAAAATTTTGTCTTAATCTCATTTTAGTTATTTCTACTGTTCTACCACTGTTTAGATAATTTGTTCAGACATTGCTGGGAGGAAAGTGTGTTTTAATGACACCTACTATCCCGTAGCATAATAATCTAATGAGCATTTATAATTGGTAATGTAACAACTTTTAATGTTGTTTTTTTTGGTATAACCAGGTTCCACTGTCGGGAAACGATTATTCTCCTTGCTGGATTGTAGGTATCTCTTTTAGATGGGATAGCTATATCTCTTTTAGATGGGATAGCTAGTCTGGAGATTTAAGACTGCTTTATACCCAATTTTTTTTTCTTTTTGGAAAACCTATACCCAACTTTTAATGTTATTGATCTTTCACAATTGAAGATTCGGATTTTGCTAACTTGAGTATTTGACAAACTCTATAATTTCTGCCATATAACAATCTAATAGTTTTGTCAATACGTTGTGATGGAGAATATTTTCCGAGTAATCGAGTATACATCTTCGTACTAGTTCGCAACTGGACTTAGACACGGTGAGGAATCGTTCCCGACCTTGACCAATCTCATGTTCGATCGATTCGACCTAAATGCAAGGCCGAGCAAATGACTAGTCAACATGAGCCTTCACCCCACCTTAAGATTGGCTCTGACCCTCTAAGGTTGGGACAATTGACCCGATCATGTCTACGGATGCGCGGCTTAGTGGCTAATCAGGAATGTCACGGCGTGTGGGTGTCACTCCACCACTACCGAACCAGCTCATTGCATACGCGACATGGACAACGACCTTGACCGATCTCATGTTCGATCGATTTGACCTAAATGCAAGGCCGAGCAAATGACTAGTCAATATGAGTCTTCACCCCACCTTAAGATTGGCTCTGACCCTTTAAGGTCGGGACAATTGACCCGAGCCTTCACCCCACCTTAAGATTGGCTCTGACCCTCTAAGGTCGGGACAATTGACCCGATCATGTCTACGGCTGCGCGGCTTAGTGGCCAATCAGGAATGTCACGGCGTGTGGGTGTCATTCCACCACTGCCGAACCAGCTCATTGCATACGCGACATGTGACAAGCATGTCGAGAGCCGACATGTATCCCTTTTCACCGCCTATAAATAACATATTTATTACCCTACGAGAGACTTTTGAGGACATTCTCACCTAATAATCTAATCACAATTAGTTCGAAACTCTCCAACCCATATACACCTTTCCCGAGTTCAATTACTTAAACCAACAAGCAAATCACATTGTCAAATTTCTGGTGTGAAAATCACATTCCTCTCAATTGGTCACTTCTTTTTTAGCACAATTTTTTTTATATTATACGAAAAGTTTTTGGCTGACAAAGTAAATTATAGCCAATTATAGACTTTCCCCTACTGGGATATTTGTCTTTAGTTACTCTCACTCAGCCTCTCACTCAACACTAAAAACTTGCTCGCACCTCTCTGTTTTCTGCTTTGGGGTTTTGCACTGGCGTTTGTCCTTTGAGCTTGAGTTCATGGCTTCATCATCAAGGAAAACTTGCCTTCAATGTCAAGCCTCCAGCTCCAGCTCCAACTCCGACGGTTTCAGAAACGGTTGGCGCCTCCGCAGCGGCGAGTTTGCTCAGCTCTGCCGCCGTTGCGCGTAAGTACTAGCAACTTTCGCTCGTTAAATTACTTCGTTTCTATTTTTATTCTGGATAAAACATTAATAAAATCTGCTTTTCTGAGTTCAGGAAATTAGCACCTATGTTTTGTGTTTAAGATTAAATGAAACATTGAAACCCTCACGAGTTTATGTAAAGGTTGAATTACGTTTCAATGGCTGAGGATTCAGTATCAATGAATGTGTAGAACTAATATCTTTTATGTCTGACTTTTCAATTCTCAGATTGCTTTGCTCATTTTGTTGGACTGTGTTTCCTTGTTTGTCAAGCAATCGGTCATTGGTTGTATCTGAGTTTTGCTTATCAACGGATTGCTCTTTTGTGCATTGTTACTGTCGACTCTTTGCTGGATAATAAGATATCTGTTAGCTATTTAGTAATTATTATCTATGCATGTTGATTTTCTATGCACACAACTGTGGTTTGGAAGGAACATCAGTTGAAGTTGAAAATTTACAAGAAATCTGTAGTCTAGTTTCTTGTGTTTATTGTAATTGACTTTAAATCCCCTGTCCGGCTTAGAAAAAACTAGCTGAAATCCATTTCATAATAGCCGAGAGAAAACCTATTGGTTTCTAAATTGTCATATGCTCTCATAGCTTCTTTTGAAAAGGGAATAAGTTGCAATTCATATTATTTTAACAGTAAGCTTACATAAACTTAACCTGATTAGATCAAGGTTTACTTTGGTACTCACTTTTGACATACTGACATCTTAAACATCAGATTTAGATGATCCCGATTGAAGCAGTTCTTATGACTACTGGACATAGTTGCTCATTAGATTGCTGTACTGCTGGTGTAAGGTACTTGTTGGATTTTCCAACATTAGCTTGATCGAATGGCATGATATGAGATAAGGGGTAGCTGAAAATCATCTACAGCGAGGGATAGGAAAGGCAATAGACTGCAGCCAAAAGAGTGTAGGAAACCTTGAGTGCTGAGGCTAACATTTCCTTATTTTTACTGCAATGATAAAATTCCATAGAGATTTTCTCTTGATGAATAAAAGTGTAACTTGATCTATCAACCTTTTATTTGAAAAACATAGCAGGAGGGTATTAATTATGAATTAAGGAGCATCTTTTTTTCTGCCGTATCATAAATTTTCTGAGTCTTCTCTTGTTGCTACCAATCTGATGGATCTTGTGTATGGGATATGGTTCATTGAATGGAGTCATGGACTCATGGGGCATTGATCTTTTGCATAAAGTTTAAGGAGATTGCCTGACACAATATTTTCTGGTTTTACCTATGCTGACTTTTGATCAAAAGCGGCTCAACTGGACCAAACTTTTCTTTCTTAACAAAAATTTTACTCCACATGAATTTTGTGAGCTCCTAATCAATGATTTGTATCTTCTGATTCCTCTTGGCTTCTTCAACTTAGTTTAGTTCTCCTTTGCATGTAGTTCTGCCTATGATGAGGGGAAGTTCTGTGAGACTTTCCATTCAAACGATGATGGTTGGAGAGATTGTGAAGCTTGTGGGAAGGTGAGTGGGATATGTTTTCAGTTGTCATATCTAGGAGCAGTATTTGTAGTAGGGTCCAATTCTGGCTTATCTTCTCGAAGATGCTTTGTTATATATGCTGAAAATCCTACAATAATAATGCTATGATATTTGTTTTTTTTTGGCAGTTGGTCCATTGTGGATGTATTGTATCATTCAATACATATTTGCTGCTGGATTTTGGTGGAATTATGTGCATTGAGTGCTCAAAGATTAGTTTTATCCTGGTAACAACTAGTTTGAATGTTGTTTTTGATGTTCCTTGTGATTATGACGTTACTGGGGGCATTATCGTCAAGTAATTACAATGCTTTTCTTGATACTTCCTCAGGAGCATTTTCTTTTCCTTCAAGCTTACCCTCCCAATAGTGTGAGTGTGTGTGCATCATAAGGTCAATCAAGGCCAGTGCTTTGGATTGAGCCCTGGCTAATGGCTATAAAGGGAAAATGGATTGATCTGTTTCTATGATAAGCAAGTCTTATTCAATGTTCTGGAAACACTGAAAACTATGGCATAATAGACTGGAATTCTGCCCTTTTCTACAAAAAAGGAGAAATTAATACTCCGCTCTTAAGGTGGCACAACCTTAAGCTGTGATTCAACTTTCTCATTTTAAATGAGGAGCCACTGAAATCAAGCATGCTTCTTTTTGGGGTATGTTTCTGGCTATAATTCAGGAAGGCTGCACAGCTTTAGCATCCTATGTACTATTGAGTAATATGTGGCATTGTGTATTCTAATTTCTGAGCAAGCACACTTTTTGACATGGCATGAGCTTCAATACTGAGATAAATCTCAGTATCCAAAGGCACATGGTATTAAAAAGTGTGCACAAAGCACACATTGCACCATAGAAAAATCGTTTCAGACTTGATAAACTAATTCCAGAAATATATACATATATAAACTTCATAATGCAGGCAAGAAACCGTTGCATGTATCCTGCTAGTCCACTACCGTTTGGTGATCCTCAGCAGGATCCCTCAAGGAAGAACCAAAAGGAATCCCAATATTGCCCTCATGCCAATGGGTCAGAGCTGCAACAGATCTGCACAATTTATCCTCCACTTTTAACTTGTCATCTTATTCCATCATGCAACTACCTTTAAATTAGTGTGGTCATTTTGGCCATGTTTGGTAAATGGTTGTTAGTTGATAGCTGATATCTGATTGGGTTAATTAGATAGTATAACTAGTTGATAACATTAGCTAATTGTAGAAAGGTGTTTGGTAAATTAGCTGTTAGCTTATAGTTGTTTGGTATAATTTCTTTTCTCAAAAAGCTAATTGAAAAAGTTGGTTTGAGTATCTTTTTGAATTTTAACATTTTGGAGTTACAAAAAGCTAATTAACCAAATACTTATATTGATTTTTTAACCAAGTCAAACAAATAGTGGTCAAATAAGCCAAAATTGACTGATAGGCTAACTATTTTACCAAACAGGGCCTTTATCTTGTTTCACATTCAAATTGACTCTGCTATGTCTTCAATTTGTAAGCTAGGACTAAATATGGAAGCAATTGTTCCTATTACTTCTTGTCATTCTATATGGCCATTACAGATTCTAGTTGTCCTTGACAAGATCTTAGCCCTGGCTCCATTGTCACTCCTCTGTTTGAGAAGGTTTTGTCTGCTACTGATACTGACCTCAAACTGTCACGTCTCTTCATACCTAAGACGTGTGCAGAGGTGAGTTTCTAAACACTGAACTCTCAATTTTTCATGTATTATGTGATTCTTGTCTTGTAAGAGACAACCTAGAGAAATTTCTCAAGACATTTCCTGATTACAGACATTCTTTCCAGACCTTTGTGGACGGCATGGGATGCCAATCAGTATCCTGGATACGGAAGGCAAGCAATGGGAATTTTTCATCCGTTGCTGGCCCAATCCTAGCAGTAAGACGTATGTTCTAGAAGGGCTGAGAGATTACATTATTGCCAAGAAATGGCAGGCAGGTGATATAGGTAATTCACTCCATACTAAAGTAGAGAATTCATGTAAATCAATTTTCATGTGCTTTGTTTTTATAATCAGCTTATTCGTCTTCTACTTGACATTACTACTGTTGCTTCAAGTACCTGGCTATCTATCCCTGCCTTTATTGAACGCATCCAGTTTTTGAATGATAAACCTTTATTTGATATTTTTAATTATCTGTTATTACTCTATAGTTAATACTTAATAATATACTGGAACATTCATAACTCCTAATGTAAAGATCAACAGATAATTTTATATATTCTCTCTGACTGATGGTGTTTGTGTATTTCTTCAGTAACATTTTGCCAAACTAAACCAGGAGGAAAGTTGATGATGGGATTAAGGAAAACTTCTACCGGCTCTGCCTCCTCATGAGTCATGAGGTGGGGCAGTTTCTCTTTAGTCTTTATACTCAATATTATACGAAATGCATTTTTGGATCCTTTTATGGAGTTTACTGGGGTGTTTGGTTGGCTGGAAAATAAATTCTTTAAAATTGAAATTTTTAAAATACGAGCGAAAAAGTACTCCATGTTGTTTGGTTTAATTTGAGAAAAATAATTTCCACACTTTTCCTTTGGTATTTTCTTTTCCAAAGCCCATGGAAAAAATGTCAACTTGATGACACAAGAGTACTCTTATACACTTCCATTAATTATTAATATTATGTGAGAATATGTTATATATATATATATATAGTTTTTTAAATTAATATTCTCAGTAATTTATTTTGCATAAAATTTACAGTAAAATCTCTTCAACAAACCAAACACGTGTCATAAGTTTTTGAAGGAAAATGTTTCCAAAACTCATGCATCATAGCTTGCTAGTTTATAGCTATTGAGATTTTATTCTTCAAGTAATTTTTACTTTGGTTAACTCTACAACTAGTTTTCAAAAAAAAAAAAAAAAAACTCTAACTAATTTGCTTTGCAGATTTAAGCCTTGAGAGTATTGCAAGCTGCAGCAGAGTTATTGCCGTCGTTCATATGCTGTTGTCAATGGTCGAGAATTTTAACGGAGCATATAGGGGCACATCTCGTTCTTTTTTTCATGGTCCCATGATTTTTTAGTTCTGCTCAAGCTCAATCTTTAATAAAGATGTATTTGCAAAAGTACATTCATGATTGGTTTTTCGAAATGTAAAAGCGAGAAACATAGCCAAAAAGAAAAGGTCCAATCTAAACCGCTTATTGATCCAGATACAACACAAATGAACCTCACCACCAAAGAAAACTCAGCATCGCTGCTCTACAAAATAGTTTATAATAATCTCCAATGCAGGAGTAAAGAGAGCTAAACCTTCAGAGGCTATTTTTTTTTTCTGTATATAATACTGAGTAGAAATTGTAGAATCATACATTTCCATGGGGGATTGATTTTTCACCTCAGCGTTTTGAAAACATTCCTTGTGTTAAAGAGGAAAAGTCGTAATCTTTAGCCGACTGTGTAGAAATGGAAGAAACTGAAGATGTTACTGGCTTGCTTGGTCCAGGTGGCACTATACCATTGGTGGAAGAATTATTTTGTCCCATCGTGTAGACACTGCAACAGTAAACAAAACCAAATAGAATTCAAGGTGTTCTCCTATACAACTAACACAGAAATATTAGCATACCTGGAAGTTGAAAATGGAATTGAATTCCCAGCTAAATCTGGCATAGCCGTAGCACCCATCTAGTTCAAGAGCAAAGAATAGAATGTTATTAGAGTTGACAGAGAGTTCCCTAAAAGCTGTATCCATAGCATACTCCTTTTTACCTGCATAAATTTCTCTGGTTCACTCTTTACAGCTGTGGGCATTGTCATTCCAGGGAACTGGTAGCCAAAATTCGGCCAAACTTGGTTTGGTAAGTTGGTGCCTGTTGCCATCTGTTGTGCATTGCCAGGGGCTTTTAATGCACCGCCAGTAGCATTAGGATTACCAGCAGCAGCAGCAGCCATTAGAAGAGACTGTTGCTGTGCCAGCATAACAAGCTGCTGTTGATGCATAGCGAATGGTGACACCATATTGGACTGCAATGGAGCAAGGAAAAATAATTTTAATAAGATGGCTTAGGATGAGAAATAATAAACCCTAAAATAACCGTATAATAATACCTTGTCAAAAAGGCTCATAATGTCATTCTTAACATCTTTTTGAGGCTTCTCTAATGAGGTAGCAGGCATGATTGGTGGTGAATCCTTAAATAAATCTTCAATTCCAGAAGAGGACTGAGGCTTGATATCATCAGCTTTCGTTATCTCAGTTCTTTCTGGTGTTTTTGGTGCTCCAGCAGCTGAAAGTTTGGCAAGTGTTAAACTAAGAAACATAATCCCCAACCCAAGCAGCCAAAAAAAAAAAAAAACCAAGATAGCATGCCCAAAAGAAACAGGAAAACAGAAGAAAAAAGAATTAATCTCAACATACACTGAAAACCAGCCCATGCATTATCATCTGCAGTTACTGCTTCTGAGCCATTTGCACTTGGCTCATCCATTGAAAGCATGTCAAATAGATCAGTGGCAAAATCAACTTTAGGGGCAGCAGCAGGTTCTACAACCTGTTTTACAGATTCAGCAGCTGCAACTGGCTCTACTTTCTGATTTCCTTGGGGTGTCAATTGAGCAGGAGATGCCTGTTATAAGAAAGACATGTAAGGTCCACAATTTCTGATTCAATTCTGCAAATATCAAACTGTTCACTATGGAAGAGAAAGAAAAGACGCCATCTAGGAGCAGTTCATCAATTCAGACCATCAAAGGGAATGATGGTGCCATGGATTCAGGTTTAAAATGCCATAGAGACATGCACTGAAAGTCTATAGTTTAACTACCCTCTTCAGCCTTTACATATTTAATTTATTTAGATTACAAAGCCTTTACATATTTTGGCATCTTAAAGGGGCTTTGTAATCTAAATAAATTGCAACAACTCAACAATAAAAACAAGTATGAAAAGCTATTGAAGCATAACACAATTCACTAGGAAACGTATATATTCCATGATCATAGTAAAATTTGAAATAGAAATGGCATAAATATAAGTTAACATACATGTTCTGGTCCTTTAGGTGGCATTGGTAAACTAACTTTAGCAGCAGGGCTTTCATGCCTAGTGCTTGGCGTTTGGACATTTTTCCTTTCACCAGATAAGTGGCCAGAGTTGTTTGCATATCCGTGCCCACTTCTATCACTAGATTGTGGCCACTGGAGTGGAGCTCTCTCTTCACGTACACTGGACACCGATGCTGGTTTCCCATCCTTAGGGGCCCATCTCTTCTCTTCATACCTTAATAATGCATAGAAGTGGAAGGTCTCAGATCAGTCAAAGCATATCAGACTTGTGAAATTTAAAGATGTTTTGACACAGTTAGCAAAAAGGGACGCACTTTGCACGGATGAAATTCTCAATTCCAACTCTATCATAGTTTGGAGGTAGCTCTGCTTCCCAGTAACTATTTGATTTCTCATTTCCCATTGCTACATAAACAAGAAACACATCACTTATACTTTATCATTGATAATAAATCACCATTTAACTTTATAGAACTTGCCAAACATCATCAGTGAACTTACATTGAATAAATGCAACTTGTTCAGGAAGCCATGTATCAAGTGTAGCTGATCTAACCTGAAATTTTTTGGAAACATCAGACAGTAGTATTCACAATATGTCAGGATTCCTTTCAAAAACACCATTCTGAACCATCTTCTCTATTATCTACACCATTACAGTTATGTGCTACTCATACAAGTGTAAGACATCTTGGTTACTTCTGAAAGAATATTTTATCACCTTTGATATGTGCACTCCGAGACTTCTGTGGATCCCAGAGCACTGCATGCATATAAAGATCCCTAAATTCACACTAGCCCATCGTGGACCTCTGCATTAAATGAACAAAAAGATAAGAAACAGACTAAATTCATCTTCAATTGCCACAAAGATAAAGTCTCTATATGCCACTGAGTCCATTAAGATGCCAACATATTTTTGCTCTTTTTGATAAATCAACATGCCTTGAAATGATAAATTATACATGAATACATGACACATATGTAAATAAAGACAACATTAAATCTTTCCAAATACATACTTCACTTTGCAATCTGCACATTCTCTGTTCTCGGGCAATTTGAGCAGACCTTCTAGAATCTGCAACCAAGCGCCTGAATGCATCAGTTTGCATGTAAAAGAATGTTTCTAAGACAAAGAGTGGCAAGAAAACAACAGCTAATTTGCACGGAAAAGGATTTGTTGAACTCAAAACATCAATCATGCACAGTCAGCCTTCCATTTAGTCTTCATCAGGTTCATCCACATCAGTAAGTCAATTTGAGTTTTTAATATCATTTTCTACCTTTGGGAGGGAGGTATTAACATTCAGCCATTGCTATCAATAAGGTTAACCTCTCACTTTAAGCTAGTGTAAAAACCTAGCAGGCTAAGCATATGATATTACTTTCCACTGACAAAACTCTCACCTTCTGGTATTTTAGAACCAGAACTGATCAAACTCAGCTATTACAACTTTGGTGGAACAACACACAAGAAAGCTAGATACCATTAACTTGGTTATCAAGTTTCAACATTATAAGCAAGTTAGTTTGATGCATCCAAAATGTAGATTAACAAGTTGCCTAACACAACTTGTTGAAATTTCTAAAATGTAAGTTCTGAACTCCTATTACTTGTATGCAGAAATATTTTAACAAGAGGGAAGGTTAAAGAGAGGATGGTTAGTAAAACCTGAGTGATTTTTAGAAACTGCTACCCCATATTTAGCTATTTTAGACAGTAGTATTGTGTTCTCTAAATTCCAAAAAGATATCAATAGACAATGAGGATGATTTGACCATTCATGAGAAGAAATGATGATTGAGGACATATCAATTTGCAGATCCAGTGACAATAAAGTGATAAACTACATCAATGACCAAGCAGACTCATAAAACAAGTGATGCAAAGCATCAATTCATATTCTCCCAACCATCACAGTAGCCTGAGTGAAGAAATGTAATATACTAATATATATTTACACACACACATATGCATGTCTATAGTATAGATTTGATTTTAAAGCACAGTAATGGCTGTTGATCACTAACTGCAAACCATTCACCTGCAGCATATCCTCTAGAACTCAATCTACTCCACAGCATCTAATTCTATTTGTCCAGAGTACTCATCAAATCAATAAATATCTCAATCTAATCTTACGAATGCTTCATAACATATAAATATGATACAATATTTAAAATAAACCTGCTCGACGTCACCCGGTATCTCATAAAGCAAAATTCAAACCATAAACAATTAAGAAAAATCGAACTACGGTTAAATCGCAAACATGATTAACAGTCTATGCTGGTGGATCAAGTAACACGAAGTCGGATACTGTATAATCAAATCTGATACGAGATCAAGGGAAATTGACACAAACGATGGGCGTAATTGAGCAAATTAAACGAAAAGGTCGAAACCTTTCTGTGCTTGGCATTGAGCTCCTTGGATACGTTAGCCTTCTCATTCATGGTGGCTAAGATGGATGAGTTCTAACTTGAACAGATGGAGAGAGAAGAAGAGGAGGAGGCGATGAAGAATGAACGACCGATCTTTCTCCTCTCTCCGTCGCTCTGGACCGCCGGATTGGAAGGCCGCCGATAAAATGAAGGTGGAAGAGAAAGGAGGAAAAACCGCACCGTCTGTCTGACTTATTTGTTGGTAATTGCATATCGTGTCCCTGTTTTCTTTTCTTTTTATGTTTCTGGCTCATGGTTGATCGTCGATCTATGCACGTGCAATGGGGGTGTTTATGGAATTCCGTTTTTATTTACACGTGCGACGAAGAGTAGTCCACTAGGCCATTCTTTTTTTCATTCTTTCTTTTTGGTACTCTACTAGTCTAAGCCATTACAATGTCACATTCTCACTCAATCAATAAATATTATTTTTTTGAACAATTACCATTTTAACCCTTGAATTATAAAGTATTTTAATAAATTTAATCCCACATTTGCTCTGAAAATAGTGACCAAGTTGATAAAATATTTTTAATAAATTTAATTCCACATTTGCTCTGAAAATAGTGACCAAGTTGATAAAATATGATTCTTATATTTGAAAATTACAGATACAAGTTTTACACAAGCATGTACTTATCTCTGTTGTGTATTTTGCAAACT